CTTCACATCAGCTATATGTTCTTTAACGCGGGTTTTTATTGATCTTTTAGTTTGTCCTATGTAGGAGAGACCACATTCACAATCAAGCTTGTACACTCCTGCATCTTGCAGAGGGACATTACACTTGACTCATGGTAAAAACTGACCAATCTTCTTCAGCGGCTTGAAGTATGCTTTGATGGAAGCGCGCTTCAAGATGTAGCCAATCTTGTCAGTGACTCCTCTAACATATGGCAGTACAGCAGGTACACGCTCGACTGTGGTCGGCTTCACTAGTTCACTGTGACGTAGGCGCGGGACTCGAAGCTTGTTGTCATGCAAAACTTGCTTGACATGGTGGAGCTCTGCAGCCAGGTGTTTACTGTCACAGATCCCTCGTGCTCTCTGAAACAAAGATTTACCCACGGTAGCTAACTGTGAAGGATGGTGGTGAGAATCACCGTTTAAATATCTATCTGTATGGGTCTTTTTTCTATACACAGTATGGCTCAAGGTGTTATCAGGATTCCGAATTACTAACACATCTAGAAAAGCTAAGGAATTGTTTGCCTCTAACTCCATTGTGAACTGAATTTTAGAATTTATAGAGTTAAGATGGTCTAAAAATGCAGTTACTTTATCTAAAGGTAGAATTGTGAAAGTGTCGTCTACGTACCGCTTGTAGAATCTTGGATTTATGGGAGAACTAAGCAGGGCTTTCTCCTCAAAGTCTTCCATGAATATGTCGGCGACAATGGGAGATACAGGTGAGCCCATCGCCACACCATCTACTTGCTTGTAGAACTCCTCCTTCCACAATAGGTAGCCAGATGTAAGGCAGTGTCTGAGTAATATTGCATATTCTACGGGCATGTTGTTTTCTTCCAGCCTTCTAGTTACAATTGAGATGCAGTCTTCAACAGGTAAGCATGTAAACAATGACTTCACATCAAAACTGACCATAGTTAGTGTTTCTTTATGAGGTCACTAGTTGTTTTAAGTGTGCTATTTGTTGGGTCGTTTTTAACCTTTTTTATAAGTACTTACATCCGACAAAAGTTCTTGTATTTTAGAATTATAATCTGACGTATCCATGACTACCGTGGCGTTTCCCTTATCTGCGCGGAGTCATGGATACGTCAGATTATAATTCTAAAATACAAGAACTTTTGTCGGATGTAAGTACTTATAAAAAGGTTAAAAATGACCCAATAAATAGCACACTTAAAACAACTAGTGACCTCATAAACACTCCGAAAAATTAAATCTGGACGTAAAATGGATAATACCTACGTGCGCCAAATCACCAAAATTGTATGGGTTACCAAAAATACACAAGCCCAATGCTCCATTACGTCCCATAGTGAGCCAAATCGATTCACCAACTTACAGATTGGCTCAACACTTAGCGAAAATACTCTCACCGCTCAGGGGACATACAAGAGCACACATAAAGGATTCCTACCATTTTGTCAGCGAGATTAAAGACCTACATCTGGCAGACAATGAAACTATGGTCAATTTTGATGTGCAGTCATTGTTTACATGCTTACCTGTTGAAGACTGCATCTCAATTGTAACTAGAAGGCTGGAAGAAAACAACATGCCCGTAGAATATGCAGTATTACTCAGACACTGCCTTACATCTGGCTACCTATTGTGGAAGGAGGAGTTCTACTAGCAAGTAGATGGTGTGGCGATAGGCTCACCTGTATCTCCCATTGTCGCCGACATATTCATGGAAGACTTTGAGGAGAAAGCCCTGCTTAGTTCTCCTATAAATCCAAGATTCTACAAGCGGAACGTAGAAGACACTTTCACAATTCTACCTTTAGATAAAGTAACTGCATTTTTAGACCATCTTAACTCTATAAATTCTAAAATTCAGTTCATAATGGAGTTAGAGGCAAACAATTCCTTAGCTTTTCTAGATGTGTTAGTAATTCGGAATCCTGATAACACCTTGAGCCATACTGTGTAGAGAAAAAAGACCCATACAGATAGATATTTAAACGGTGATTCTCACCACGATCCTTCACAGTTAGCTACCTTGGGTAAATCTTTGTTTCAGAGAGCACGAGGGATCTGTGACAGTAAACACCTGGCTGCAGAGCTCCACCATGTCAAGCAAGTTTTGCATGACAACAAGCTTCGAGTCCCGCGCCTACGTCACAGTGAACGAGTGAAGCCGACCACAGTCGAGCGTGTACCTGCTGTACTGCCATATGTTAGAGGAGTCACTGACAAGATTGGCTACATCTTGAAGCGGGCTTCCATCAAAGCATACTTCAAACCGCTGAAGAAGATTGGTCAGTTTTTACCATCAGTCATGTGTAATGTCCCTCTGCAAGATGCAGGAGTGTACAAGCTTGATTGTGAATGTGGTCTCTCCTACATAGGACAAACTAAATGATCAATAAAAACCCGCGTTAAAGAACATATAGCTGATGTGAAGAATCGACGCTCCGGGAAGTCTGCAGTCTGTGAACACGTACAGGATCGCCCCCGTCACTACATCAGATTTGATAGACCGCAAATCCTCGCTAAAGAACACCGATTCCTTCCAAGGATGATTCGCGAGGCTATTGAAATCAAAAAACATCCTAATTTCAATAGAGAAGATGGCTGGGTGCTACCATCTGCTTGGGATCCTATAATAAATAAAATTAAATCCCAACCCAAGCATACAACTGCAAGACTTAAAGATACCATAAGTTCATACTGCATAGATCGGAACAAAAGTTAAATTTTAATCTATGGTAACCGCGGTTAACTATGACATATGGACGTTTAACATCTCAGTCCCGCCCGTGACCATGAGTGCTGTAAAGCGTTCGAAACGTCGGGTATTTAAAAAGTTAAATATACGCGATAAATTCCGTAAAAACTAGTATTATTTCAATGTGTAGTGTCCGCGTAAATATAAGAAATCATTATATTAATAAAAGTTCTAAATTTACATGTATAGAGATTGATTGCACGCAAAAGTAATAGAATTAATTTGTATCTCAATATTATTTTATACGAATTACATAAACTACCGTCACATAAACTTAAACTAACTATCCGCAAGCAAGTCTTAACAAAGTTGTGCGATTAATTTGAACCGCTCGCTTCAGAGTTTCCTTCCATTCTACTCGTATTGTTAAACATGACTAGCTAAGCGGGAGGATAATGTAATTTTATTTATTAAAGTTTTGAACTACAAACTTCTCCAATTCAGTCCTACAATAGAGCCCGAAAGTAACATAACTTGAATTTGTGGAGCAGTAAACAAGTATAATTGCGGAATAAGGTTATCTACAAGAGAGATGAAAACTAAACCTGACAAAAACAAAGTTATCAACACACCAAATACAGTTCAGTTCAATGAAAAGGTGATTTCCTAGCAAATGTAATATCAGTGGTGTAGAAAGGGAGGGGGAGCGGGGCAGAGAGTCGATGGGGCTATGATTTTATGTGGCAATATTTAGATAGTCAGTTCCGTGGGGGGAGGGGGCACGCCTTATCTTTCAAAGTTTGGTATAATATATAAACATTTTGGTATTATAAATATAACAGTAAATATGTATTATTTTTACATTTCAAAAAAGAAGAGGCATTGATAAAATGAGTAGTCTTTACCATAGAATACTATAATACACAATAGAATGGCTGTCTACCTTATTTTGTACGAGGAGTGGCGTCGCCAAACTCGATTCGCGGTGTTGACAGACTGAGTAAATTTATACATTTTAGGCTTTTGATTAATGTGCAAGATCATCATTTAAAAAACCGTTTAAATTTTAATAGGTACATATTTATTTTTAAATATGTTGCAATTTGACATTTTCGAAATAATTTGCATGCGAAATTTGGAAACGATTGTAACGTCAAAACACATCTCGTGTTGACATTTATACGTGTGAATTGACACTTTAGTGACATTTTATTGGCTATACGGGCTCCGCCCACTCCCGCGTTCTATTATGTATGTATATAGTATTCTATGGTCTTTACCCAGGCGAAGCCAGGGCGTGTCGATAGTATATAATAAAAGAGTTACAGTTACAACTAACAAAGTAATATGGTCATATATGTATAATAAATTCAATTAAAAATATGTAGCAGGAGATGGTTTTTATATAAGGGTGACCACACGAGCATACAATCCACCCGACGGTAAGTGGTAAGGCTACGGTAAGGATACAAAACTTACTTACTGTGATTGCTAATCTGCCTGCCATATGTGACGATGGTGGCAAATCCTCTCTATAACGCTCTGAATGCTTAAGGGCTGATGTTGAAGAATAATCAGAAAAAATATACTATTAACCTTACAGGCTAATTTCCTGCCTTTACCGCTAATTTCAATTAATTTCGCTTCAAATTTCACCTCTCACGACGTTTTTGAGCTCTTCAAGCTTTTTCTAGCTTTATTGATTTTGATGCAGTTTGCGGCAATCGACTCAGTTTTTTGAGCTTAACAAAAATATTTATCACAAAAAATTGATTTAACAAAAAAATTTCGAGTTATTTTGAAAAAACACTTTTTTCGAGATTTCTTTCGACAACGATATCTCTCTAACGAATTAATCAATTTTGATGCGGTTCACGGCAACCGACGTTGTTTTATGAGTAGAAGAGCTGATTAGATTATAAAATTTACCAAAACAAGGGTGTGTGTAATACATCCCTAGATGTAATACACTCATCTATAAAGTATCCATAGCTCAATTGCCTACGATGCGCATTGAGTAATTTTTGCATATGCGCTCTCTATACTACTGTAATAAATACTCTAAGATACAGACATACGGACATCATCTGAAAAATAGCCAGAAAATTTTCCTAGGACCTCGAAAGGTCAAGATCTGAATAGAACGCGATTTTCAAAAAGTGGGGTGGATACAAAATCTTACCGATTTTTTGAAAATCATTTATTTACATAGCGAGAAGTTAAAAACGCGTGCCAAAACAGAAACTAAAAAGCTGTTTATTTTCAATATTTTATTTCAGCTTTTAACATTACTTAATTCATACTAATTTATCTCCATCTCCTCTAAAGGTTTGTTTTTTACCCTTAATTGAATATCAATAACAACAGACTTCTTAAATACATCCATTAAATCGCTTCTCACGTAAGATTTTATTTGTTGTAATCTTCCCCCTCCAGCCCCACTTATAAGTCTTGCGATCCTTTCAGAAGGGCATTCGACACCTACAGAACAAATCACTTTTCCTTCCTCTTGCAATTCATCATAATATTCTAGGTATATTTTTAAACTGTATGGGATTTCTTGTGCAAGGAAATCCAAAAATTTTGCTCTGACTGCATCTTCAATTAATGTCTCTGGAGTTTGATCTGTCCATTGATCAGGAGTGTAATGTAGGGTTGCAACTTTTGCATTGGAAATCAGGTATTTCTGAAATTTTTAAATTGTTAAAAAATATACCAAAAAAAGCTAAAAATATCAAAGTTTTTAAAACATAACAATATATCTACATAAATATTCTGTACAGTCATTATTCATCATCATCATTACAGTCCTTCACAAGTCCACTGCTGAACATAGGCCTCCCCCAAGTAATGCCACAAAGCACGGTCCTGAGCCACCTGCATTCATAGACTTCCTGCATATCTTACCAGGTCGTCACTCCATCTAGTGGGTGGTCGCCCTACACTACGCCTACCGGTACGAGGCTGCCATTCGAGAACCTTTTTTCCCCATCGGTTATCGGTTCTTCGAGCTATATGGACGGCCCATTGCCACTTCAGCTTACTAATCCGTTGGGCTATGTCGGTCACTCTGGTTTTACTGCGGATAACCTCATTTCTGAGTCTATCACGCAGAGAAACTCCGAGCATGGCCCTCTCCATAGCTCGCTGAGCGACCTTGAGCGTCCTAATACGGCCAGCACTGAAGGACCACGTCTCAGATCCATAAGTCATCACTGGCAACACGCACTGGTTGTATAATCTAGTTTTTAGAGATTGAGGTATACCTGACGAGAAGATATGTCGTAATTTCCCGAACGCTGCCCAGCCGAGTTGAATCCGTTGATTGACCTCACGGTCGAAGTTTAACTTACCTAGTCGGACTATTTGTCCCAGGTAAACGTACTCGTCAACAACTTCGAGCATAGTGCTCCCAACAACTACCGGCATAGGTGTGACATGGGCATTAAACATGATCTTTGTTTTGTCCATGTTCATCTTAAGACCTATCCGTTGGGAGACACCATTGAGGTCATTGAGCATAGTGCTTAGGTCCTCCAGCGATTCTGCCATAAGGACTATATCGTCGGCAAATCGAAGGTGAGTGATGTACTCGCCATTGATGTTAATACCATATCCTTTCCAATCCAATAGCTTGAAAACGTCTTCCAATGCAGCGGTGGAGAGTTTCGGGGATATAACGTCACCCTGTCTTACACCTCTCTGCAGTTGGACAGGTTTCGAGCTCTGGTTCTGTACTCGGATAGCCATCTTAGCCCTACTGTACAAACACTTCAGCACTTCGATATACCGACAGTCAACTTGGCACCGCTGAAGGGACTGTAGCACTGCCCAAATTTCGACGGAATCGAAGGCTTCCACATACGCCACGCAAAGTGGCAGATTGTACTCTTCGATCTTCTGTACAATCTGCCGCAGGGTATGTATGTGGTCTATGGTATTGAAGACTTTTCGGAAACAGGCTTGTTCGGGAGGCTGGAAGTCGCCTTTCTTAAAGAACAAGACCACCGCACTTCTGCTCCACGCCTCTGGAGTAGTGCCACCATGGAGGACGGAATTAAAGAGCTTCTGAAGGACTTCAAGTACCGGTGTTCCACCCGCTTTCAAAAGCTCCGCTGTAATTCCATCCTCGCCTCTTTTAAGGTGCAGCTCCCTGCCGTTTTTAAGGTGCTGGAGAGCCATTCTAATCTCGCTCAGACTGACATCCGGGATATCATCGGAATAGTGTCGGATAAGACTTGCTCTTGGATCGTTACTCCACTTGCGTGTGGCTCCAACGATGATGTGTACAGCTGCCCATAGAACCTCTTAATCTCACTCAAAATCTCAGGTGTCCCGGAAAGGATGCTGCCACACTCTTTTTCTTCAGCTTTGTCGGTTGGCTCTTACTGGCAGACAGATCTCTGACAAAGACTTTGGACCCTGGTTCCGCCGCTCAATCGCTTCTTCAATACGAGCAGTATTAAATTTGCGTAAGTCTCGCCGCATGCATTTGGAGATCTGTCTGTTCAGTTGCCTGTATGCTGTCAAATCTGTTGACGATTGCAGCCTCATCTCCCGTCTAACAGCCATGAAATTAAGAGTGTGATCGGAGAGTTTTGTGTTCTTCTGCAGCAGGTCTTGCAGAACTTAGCTCCGACCGCATGGACAGTTTCCACGAGCTTGTCATTCATATCGTCCACTGTATTGCAATCTTCTAGGCAGTGAAAGCGGTTTTGTAACTCGAGCTGAAAGGTTTCGGGATTCTGGATTAGAGCACGAGGGGGACGGAGCGTTGACTTCATTAGACGAGACCTCTCCAACTTAACATTTAGGTTCAGTGTGCCTCTAACCATTCGGTGATCGCTGCCAGTTTTCACCCTTGCGATCACTGAGACATCACTGAACAGTTGGCGTCTGGTCGTCATAATGAAGTCAATCTCATTTTTGGTCGAACCGTCGGGGCTCGACCAGTTCCACTTTCCGTGGGGCCGCTTCTGGAAGAAAGAGTTCGTCATAAAAAGTCCCTCTTTCTCCATGAAGTCGGCCAGCTGCTGGCCCTTGCCGGACCTTCAGCTCACAGTTCTTTCTTGTGCCCAGTTTTGCGTTGAAGTCTCCCATTAACACCGTATAGTGAGTTTTGGAGGAATGCATGGCTCTAAAAATGTCCTCATACATTTCCTCCCCCTGTTAATGTACAGGGGGGAGCAGTTCTTGCATATCTTAATATATATAAATTACGTGTCACGTTGTTTGTCCGCGATGGACTCTAAACTACTTAACCGATTTTAATTAAATTTGCACACCGTGTGCAGTTTGACCCAACTTGAGAAATAGGATAGTTTTTTGTCCATCAATTTTTTTGCGAATTTAAGGATTTTTAATAGGACTTGACAAAGGGTCATCGAAAAGGGCAGAACAACGTCTGCGTGGTGAGCTAGTTTTATGTAAATATTTCCTGCTATGGTTTATTATAATAGATTTAATAAAATTCGCAGACGGCGACAGCCATCAACTTTAATGGTGCAAGACGTCTGTAATTACGATTATTAATCCACAAGCAAGACTATTGTGGTTATACTCTTTGCAACGAGAGAGAACAATGTTCAGCAGTAGTTTTTGAGCTGATAAAGGAGATAAAGATAAATACGAAATTATTTACTTTCATTATTCGTCTCTTACGAGACCCACAAAATAATATAAGTAATAGAATGGTCTATATAAATACAATATAAATACGATAACAGGATTTGTAGCAATGATGAAGCGTATGCGTCTTCTTTCTAAACAAAGTTAATATCGTCATTGCAAGCGTCATTGGGAGGATTACGTCAAGAGATTACGTTTATTTTGAACTAGTTATTTGTCCCTAAAATGTTTTATTACCCCTTAACTGATGTGACATTAATACAATTGTCAAAGTTAATGCATGCATGTGTTGCTGGATGCAGGTGTCCACGAACTGTAGAAGCTACTCGCCGTCATCGATTCCATTTATTACAGCCAATAAAAGTCCACGGTTGATCACAGGCCTCGCCCTAAGGTTTCCTCCTACGAGAGACTTTGCCATAGTCGCCACGCTTGGCAAGCTGGTTTGCAACCGTAATTTTTTTATAATTTTGAGTTATCATAAAGGTGCTATTTATATAGAATAAGGGTGATAAAAAGCACACAGTCCACCTGATGGTAAGTGGATTTTGTAGCCCATGGACATCTACAACTATCCTCGATCAAGAATTATCTGAGGACTAAGATCGAATGCCTCATTTTCAGAAAAAGATTCTCCGGATTTGTAGTAGGAATCACTCTTAGTCGGCAGGTGCTGCTCTTCATAGTAGCTTTGAGTCTAGCAATGTTTTATGTTGTTGTTTGGTTGCTATAACCTTTTTAAACATATTTCGTAAATCGACATTTACGGCATCCATACCACATTTCGCCGTGCATCTAAATAATTTTGTTATAGCTTCCTTTAAGCCCTCACTCCCAACGAGTAGTGGCCTTTGCCTTAACTTTCTCTGTTAGGATCATAGTTTGTTTTTACTTTATTTTCATATCTTTATTTATTATCAAAAAAACACATTCTTTAAACAGCGACTAACCTTAATATCATTAACTCCATCTCCTGTTAAGGCAGATACTAAAAACACATCAGAAAAATTACTGTATCCCCTTACTAATTTATTTCTAGCTGAATCTCTCTCAGAATTAGGTAAAGGTTTTCCTGCAATTACTCCATTTGTCAAATTTCTAATAATGGACAACAGCTGTCTTTTTGATTTTAATTTATCTACCTGTCAAAGAGATTAAGTTAATATTAATATACCGAGTTATTTATAATCTTAATACTTATAAATCTTTGGAATTTTCAAAATGTATCTATGTGAAATATATTTTTTCCGTAAGACTAACTTACCATTATTCCCACTTGTTTATTTCATCTAACTTATATCCATGTTATTTTTAAAGCAGTAAATAAATAAAAAAATAATCTTGACTCTTTTATTTGTTGATTTAAAATGTTATAAAATCACTGAGTAAATGCATTACTTACTTTGTTTAATATTAAAAAACTCGGTATATCCCTGACCATATTCAGGATATTAATAAGATCAGCATGAATACTATCTTTAATCCATCTATTTGATACGTCATGGACCACACCTATAACATCAGCACACCTTAAACTTTTTTGGCAGGCACCCACCATTGCTTCTGGTAATTTGTACCTGAAAAACGAGCTATTTTTATTTACTGGATATACTAATGGGTTGCAATTCCTAAATTAAAAAAAAATATATACATTATTAATACTATATATAATACACAATTATACATTACTTTCAATGATTTATATTGTTTATGCTTTACCCTTTTTTTATAATTTAAGCTATAAGAATGTAGAGATGTCGACACCGAATAACCAAAATTATTAGTTTTCAGATTTTTTCTTTTGTATACGCCTAATGATGTAACTTTAATACAGACTTTTTTCTCATTAAACTAGAAATGGCAGTAGTTTTTGACGAATGTGTCAGTAAGTAATAAAAATGGCACTTTTCAGATCTTACCTAATTACTCATGAAAACTAAATAGTAATAATTTATTTTAAAAAAAAAAGGATTCTAAATATTCGTGGTATCCTTAATGCAAAGTCATAAATGACTAAGTCTATTATTTTCGAGTTATTGAAGATCCGAAAGTAAATCAAACCATGGACAAATTTAGAGGAAAGCAAACAAGATTTAATTTCTCAAGAGGTATATATATGTCTAGACCGGATGGTGTACGAGACTCGAAGGACGCAGGAGATGACGGGTTCATTGTTACCATTATGCTTAGAAACCGAACGATAACTTCTTCAGAGGTAAGAACGAAGTTCCAAGAAGTTCGAGGAGTTACAGTAAGCACAAAAACTGTGAAACCATGTTGCTGTTTGCCAATAGTATGTTGTTTGTTAAGGAACTGCCTCATGTGCTTAACTATTATCTTTTCCATGACTTTGCACACCAAACTAGTTAAGCTTATCGGTCTATAATTTGAAGGATCTAATTTGTTTCCCTTTTTGTAAACAGGAGTCACTAAAGCCGTTTTCCATAAATCAGGCAACACTCCTTTGTCATATTTATTTATTTATTTGGTCTACCAACGACTGTTACATTACAAAAACTTAAAGTAGTTACATTGTAATAAACTATAATGAGCTAAATGCACAATCAATTACAGGTAAACACAACGTGCTATTTTAACATGTGACATAAGTAGGTACCTTTTACATTGATATAAGGTTAATTTTAAACTAGTTATAACAGGTAAAAGATAAGTTTAATTAATCTGGGATTTTTTTAACAAATGTGCACGAAACTGGTTAAGTTTAAGAGAAAAAACATCCTTGGGATCATTAATAAACCACGTATTAAATGCGTTACACAGACGAGGAACTGGTGAATGTTTTCCTAAAACAGTCCTGCGGAATGGCGGATAAAATAGAGAAACAGGTTTCCTTGGAACCCTGAAGGGGATCCTGAAATTAAAAAGGTTTAGAAGCTGAGGGCAGTCAATTTGATTATTAAAAATTTTATAAATGAATATTATGTCGAAAAGGGTCCTTCTTTTATTCAACGAGGACATTTTAAAGTGTTTGAGGTTTTCATGATAGGATAACTTTTTCTTTGAAACTTTGGAGATGTGAGATAGATGCCATAAAAAGCGTTTTTGGACCCGTTCTATTCTTAATATGCGCGTGGCATAGTGTGGCCTCCATACAACAGGGCAGTATTCAAGAAGACTACGTACTAGTGCTTTGTACAAAGTGATACGTGTCTGTAAGTTTTTGAACACTTTACTGTTTCTAATAATAAAGCCCAGCATATTAGATGAGCGCCTAACAATGCTTTCAATATGTGGTACGAAAGTTAATTTGTTATCTAGAATTATTCCCAGGTCCTTAATTCTATCAACTTCTTTTAATGGTTTGCCATCAATATAATATTTGGATTCAGTTTTAGTATGTTTGCGTGTAAATTTAATAAAAAGCATTTATCTATATTTAATTCCATTCCATTTGTACAGCACCAATTGTATAACCTATTTAAATCATGTTGTAACAAGAGAACATCAGCTTGGGACTTAATAGTTCTGGCAATTTTCAAATCATCTGCGAATAGATAGGGCGTTGATGAAAGGAAACTATTGGGCATATCGTTGATATATACGTTAAAAAGAATTGGCCCCAAATGGAATCCTTGAGGAATTCCTGAAGTTATCTTGTGAGATTCGGACTTATAGCCTTTAGCAACAACGAAGAAACGTCTATTCGTTAGATTTGAATTAATCCAGTTGGCAAAATTTCCTGTAAAGCCATAGGCAGCAAGTTTGTCTATAAGAGGTAAGTGGGGTATTTTGTCGAAGGCCTTGCTGAAGTCTGTGTACACAACGTCTACCTCCTCCTGTTTATCTAGAGCTTTAGCAATTCCTTCGACAAATGTGACTAAGTTTGTGCAAGTGGATTTCGATTTTAAAAAACCATGCTGATATATGCTGACGTATTGCTGAAAATGGCTTTGTATTGAGGGGCAAACAACAGATTCAAAAACTTTTGCCATTGTCGATAAAATTGAAATTGGTCGATAATTCGATACTAAGTTCTTGTCGCCAGATTTATGTATTGGAACTACTTTAGCTATCTTCCAGACGTTTGGAAAGGCACCTGTCAATAAGGAGTAATTAAAAATGTATTTTAAAGGTACAGCCAGTGTTTTAGCACAGTTTTTGATAAAAATAGGTGGAATTTCATCTGGGCTTGCGCCTTTATTTGTATCAAGTGATTGTAGTTTTTTTTAGTATTATCTCCCGAGATATCGAAAGAGTCTCAAGGCTGAAGCTATTTTGTGCTATATAGTTGAGATAGGTAGAAGTTGGACTGGCTACATTCTGAGCTCTTGAGTCTGTTATAGCGAATGATTTCGAAAATGATTTAAGAAATAAGTTACATATAGCTGTTCCGTCGGATTCATAAATAACCCCGTCTGTCATAATATTCGGATAAGAATTACTTCCCTCCTTTCGCGATTTTATAAACGACCAAAAGTGTTTGGGATTTTTGTTGAGTGTCTTTTCAGTCATTTCAATATAATTATTATATAAGTTTTGTTCCAGTTTTTCGCATCGTTTGTTAAGTAACTTAAATTCTACCTCATCTAAAGGATTGTTATATATTTTATACCTACGATGTAAATTGTTCTTTTCTCAAAGCAGTCGTAGGAGTGATTTATTAACCCACGGAGGATATTTGCTCTGCTTAAACTCACTACACGGCACATGAGTCTTAATAATATTATTTAGTAAAGTGTAGAAATTATCCATAATTTCATCTATAGTGAGGCATTTGGAAAACAATTCCTCGCAGTTTATTTCCGCAAGACAGTTATTTATAGCATCATAATTAGCTTTATAGTAATTATTTTTCTTATTATTAATATTGTTACTAAGTATGCGGATCACATTAAGCACAATTTCAATTTCTATTGGAGGATGTTGTGGATCAACAACGGAGAGATTACTTAAAGCTAATGTGACATTACATACTGGTAAATCAGTTAACACAAGATCGAGAATTCTTTGGTTACTGTTACGTATTAAGTTATATTGATTAAAATTTGAAGTATAACAAAAGTCTACTAAAGTTGTATTTATTTTTGAAGTTTGATAATGTACTGTACCCGTGTTTATTGCATTCCAATCAATAGTACCTAAATTAAAATCACCAATCAAACAAATTTTACCTTCAAATTTATCAATAATAGAGTTACAGTTTTTTATGTACTGTTCTAGCATAAATTGTTGTACTGGAGGAGGGAGATAAACAGCACAAATTGCTATTTGTTTTGAAGAATCTAAGTATGGTACCTTTACCAAAACCCAAAGATCTTCACATTGACTTTCCCAATCAATCATTCGAGTTGCTGAAATATATGATTATTGCATTACTGATACTAGGTAACTATCAAGTCCGCAGTTCTTTAAAACATGTATGGGTATTTCATCAGGGCCAGGTGAAGTCTATATTTATTTATTTGATAGCAGCTTGTACTTGATTCTGTGAACATGACGTCCTCTATAGCTTCAATTGCTCTTAGAATTGGGTCTAGCCCAGGAAGTTCTTCTAGTGGTTCTCTTTAATGAGATTTTTTGCTTCCTAATGGAATTTCGACGAATTCTGGCTTTAACAGTATTAACAGCTTTTGTACTTCTAACAGCACGCGGCCGCCTCGATCTTTTATGGTCTTCGATAGAGGAAGTGTTGTTGTATCTGTTGATACGGCTGATACCAAGCTTTTCAAGTGTCTGGATATTGACCGACGGCTCCATACCCACTTTGCGCAAGGCGATCACCGCAATCCTATTTTCTTTAACACCCCATTCCATATTGCAATTTGATAATGAACACGAAAAAAATATGTGAAACGGCGCGAAATCGAAAGAACTTTTAAATGTAATGAACGCGTTCCAAATTCAAAATAATTAAAAGGTTGAAATAAAGAAGTTTTTATATATTGTATATATATTGTAGTTTTTATATAGAAATATTGTATTTATGGCCAGACTAGTTATAGTATATACGATGGCGATGCGTCGCCCTTTTCTTTTTCAAACTTTGCTGACAAACTGCCATATATTCTTTATTTTTATTTTATGATCATTTTTCTTCATGATTGATTTGGAGACATACTTACTTTTTTTGCTCCTTGTCTGTCACTATTCCTGGTGTATCCAAAAATATTATTTGGGTATCATTCTCATAACAAATAGCTCGAGCAAGTTTTGTTGTTGTATGAACTTTATTGGAGGCAGCACAAATCTGAAATATATATTATTTTTAAAATCTCTTAATAAGAGTAGGTACATTTTATCACGCTTTGCATTTTATTTTACTAGTATTCTAATATCATAAGTAAAGGTGTATAATATATTGTAACAAATTATAAGTTAATAATAAGTAAATATACTGGATAATATATTGTAATAATATTGTAAACATTTATATCTATTTTAAACTTTTTCTGATAGTTCCTTAACATTAGTAATTAAATTATATATTCTTATACATTTGGATAAGTTTTTAGTTTTTGGTAACATACGAGTAGCTTGAGAAATTATTTAACTATGTTGTCATTAATGGCGCTACTTCGTAGAGGTTAAGCAAAAGTGCAGTGATCTTATTTTTCAAGAAAGGCAACAACGCCCTATTGAATAACTACAGATAGATTTCTTTTCCAACGTCTATGTACTGTTTTCGTATCATATTATAAATAGTATTTATTGCTAGTTTTTACAATATAAATATAGTTTGAAAGTGCTTCAGACCAAAAATCTGAAATAAGATTATAAAAAACACAACGAAAGGTCCAAATGACAAAACAGAAAGCATAGCATGTATGGACAGTTAAGGGCCAAGAGGATTAGTGCTCTGCAAACTGATGTCTGGGATAAGTGAAAACTCACTAGCGGATAAAGAACCAACTCCTGGTATTCACTCACTATTCCAAACAGCTTAATGATGCCACAACAGCAAACAAGAATGCCAGGGAAGCTAAGTGGTTGCTAGGAGAGCCTATATGAACAAAATAGGACCATGAGAAAACAAAACTTGATCAACCTTCCATGTATGTCGTTTTTAAAATTCCAAACGCATGGGTGGAAAATTTATCAAATCTCACTTCCGTCATCAATACTGCCAAACCTAACAATGTTCAACTTGTGACTTCAAAATTATGTCCATATGTCACACAACACTCCTGCTGGCTGAGCTTTGTCTATGAGAGATGTGGAAGCTACTTTTTACAACAATAGCTCATCAGACCAATAGAGGTTTAGGCCTGTTACAAGAAATGTGATGAACATATGATGACCTCTTCAACTTAAATAATAACACATATGACCACATTTAGAACACTGCGAGAAAGCTAGACTCGAAATAATCATCAAGACTGACATCAATGCCAATCCACTTCTATTGGGAATGGCTTTAAGCAATGACTGAGGCATTTATCAAAGATCTGTTTACTATCAACCTCTTCCTATAAACATAGGCTCATTCTTAACAAACACAACAAAAGGAGACTAAGGAAGTCAACACAACACTAATAAAGACTAGGATTTATTAGTGTTGTATTTACTTCCTAAGTGCTCTTCATCAATGGATTGATGAATTAAATAAAATGGGTATAGGTATTCATTATTTAAAAAATGTTTCCTCCACACTAAAATTTTCTTCTGTATTGTGTTCTCAAACATAAATTGTACAAGGACAAAAATCCACATCTGGAACAATTGTTTGTAGGCCACATAAACACTTGTTTCATGTGGGTTTCGAACCCACAGCCCTCAGCGCCACAACTCAAGGTAAGCTACTGCATCACAAAACCATCAAACTTTTTTACATGCAATTGAAGTAAAACACCTTAAAAGTTAAAAATAAATTTAAAATCTATATAGAGTTTTAGGGCTAGGGTGCCACCGTGCTCCAAAGCGTATTGACATAAATTTCGTGCTCCAAGTCCATTGCCACATCGACTTACTGATCTGTTCCACAATGTACATTACTCTCATTCTACTAATTTTATCATATAGAGATGGTACACTCTTATTTGAAGAATATGTAATAAATGTATGACTTAATGTCCAAATTCTGGCCAGCCTCATTGGATTGGGTGGGTTGAAATTGAACTTACGTAATTGGACTGATTATTCTAGGTAAGTATACTCATCAACAAATCCAAGTGTAGTATTCCCAACAACTAGTAGCATAGATGTACCTCGTACATACTCATAATCTTTATCTTACCCATATTCATACATACATATACATACATACATAAACACTGACGCCTGTCACCCAGAGGGGTAGGCAGAGACTACGGACTTCCATTTGGCACTATCCTGACATACCTCTTTCGCCTCCTTTACATCCATATATCTACGCATACATGCTCGTCGGTTAAGGGTACTTCCAATGTGGCCCCTTTTCAAAATATCGCCAATTTGGTCGATAAACTTTTTTCTAGGGCGTCCCTTCCCGACTCGGCCGTTCACATCTGCCATATAAATTTACTTTGTCACTCTTTCCTCATTCATTCTTTCTACATGACCAAACCACCGAAGCATTCCTTTCTTAATCCTGGTCACAACATCATCTTGCATACCACATTTATCTCTTATCACGCAATTTCTCACCCTGTCATTCAGATTCAACCCTAGCATACTCCTTAAAGACCGCATTTCTACAGCTATTACTATTTTTCTACTTTCGTGCTTCTTCTGCCACACCCAGCTTTCACTACCATACATTAAAGTAGGGACTAACACAGCATTATGAATTACCATACGTGCCTTTTTTGACACATTCTGGTTCTTCATAATAGAGTGTAGTGCCCCATTCACTCTATTCTCAGCATTTACTCGTCGTTCTATATCCCTATCATATCTGCCATCCCTGCTAAATACACATCCCAAATACACAAAGTCATCCACTTGCTGCTCAATTAACTCTCCTTCTATTCTTATTTCACACACCGTTTTGCTTTCTTCTCTTTCAAAAACCGTCACTTTCGTCTAACTTGCGTTCACTTTCATTCCCCTTTCTTTTAATTCTCAGTTCATTAATGTAACCATCATTTGCAACTCAGACGCCGATGACGCAAATATGACTTGATCATCGGCATACAAAAGATATTTGACGGTTAACTCGCCCAATTCTTAACCCACATTCTTCATCTTTCAAAGTTTTTGCAAACACCTGTCCATAAATAGGTTGAACAGACAAGGGGAAGCTACATAGCCCTGTCTGACACCTTTTTGGATGCCAAACCAGTCCGAGTAGACCCCATTGATCCTGACACAAGCACTAGAGTCCCTATAAAGAGACCTTAATACTTGTATCAAACCAACGCTCAACCCATATGAGTTCAGTGTTTGCCATAACACATTCCTGTCCACTCTGTCATAAACCTTTTCCAAGTCCATGAACACACAAAAAACTTTCTGGTTTTTGGCCAAAAACTTCTCCGCAATCATGCGCATGGAAAAGACTTGATCTGTGCACCCCATTCCCTTTCTAAAACCCGCTTGCACATCCCAAATTTTTCCATCAGTTTCTTTCATAACTCTTTCAATTAACACCTTAGCATACAGTTTACCCACTATTCTAAGCAAGCTGATTCCACGGTAGTTATTGCAGTCCTGCTGTGACCCTTTTCCTTTATATATTGGTATTATAACTGCTTTACACCAGTCATCCCGTACCCGTTTTAATTCTCAACATAAATTAATTAAGGTGTACAGCAGGCCTGACACCACTCCCTATCCAGCCCTTAGCATCTCGAGTGATACTCTATCATATCCAGCTGCCTTACCTGCTTTCATGCTTTTCATTGCTTTCATTATTTCATCTACACTTATCTCCATACCCCTTTCCACTTCTTTCGGAATTTCTAGTTCATTTAATTCAGACGACTCTTCACTCATAAATACGCTTTCAAAGTATTCCTTCCATCTGTTTAAATTCGAAGCTTCATCATTCAGAATACATCCATGGTCGTCTCTTATAGCATTCATTAGAGGCTGTTTTGTATTTCCCCTGGCAGTTCCTACGAGTTTCCAGAACATTTTTATGTTAGCCTGGAAATTATCAGATATCCTTCTATCATTCTTATCCGTTCTTTCTTTCTTTTTCCTTTCAACAACTTCTTTTACTCTCTTATTTAGACATCTAAATTCTGCTTTTTTTCTTTCAATCTCATCATTCATACCAGAAGAATTACCAACTTTGGTTGCTAGTAAATCTAACAATGCTTTCTTCTTTGATTCAACTTCCACCCGTACCTCATCATCCCACCATAACATATTACTTTTCCTTTCATTTGTTCTCTTACTTACACCACATACTTCGGTGGCGGCATCCACCAAACCTTTCTTAATATTATCCCACACAGTATTCAAGTCTAAATCATTCATACACAACTCATTCAAACATCTAATATTTCCTCTCAGTCTACATTTATACTTCTCTTTCACATCTTCATCTTGTAACTTCTCTATTCTTATACGCTGTAACGCAGTGGTAGACACAGATGTCCGATGCCGCCAACGCTTGAAAAGACCATTAATTCAACATAAGATCAAGTAATGATCCGTCCTTACGTTGGACCTCCGGTAAACCCTTGTTTCTACGACTGCGTTCCTCATTCTTTCATCCACAATTACGAAATCTATCATGCTTCTATCATCACCTCTTTCCCATGTATACATGTGAATCTTCTTATGACGAAAAAAAGTATTCGTCACAAAAAGATTCTTTTCCACACATACGGTGAGGAGGTCTTCACCATTCTCATTTATACTTTCATCACCAAACGTTCCCAATATCCTTTCATAACCAGACCTCTTCACCCCAACCCTTCCATTAAAGTCTTCTAACATAATAATATTTTCATTTTCCTTACATTTTGTCAACACCATCCTTACCATGTCCCAAAAACTGCTCTCGGATGTAAGTGGGCTTAGACATGTCTGGGGCATACACCCCTAGCAGGAACAGCTTCTTTAAGCCCACTTTCATTTGTATCCATAGCAGTATTATTCATACCCATATTGATCTTAGGAACTATTGCTATCATTCATTTATTATCTCCCATTTATCAATAATTTCTTACCAATAATATTTATCAATAAAATGATAATTATTTTCAAATAATTATAATTTAAAATAAATGTAATAATTAAAAAATTCAATATACTATCTGAATATTTGAACATAATGTGAACATATCACATACAGTCATGAATTACTATAGTCAGTCACCGTCTCATTAAATGCGGAAAACTCAAAGATCAAAGATTGCGGAAAGACCATAGATTTACTAAGTTAACAACTTAGCAGGGGAGTTGGCAACTGCAGTATTTACCAGGATAAGAATTGTATTAAGTTCACTAAAACCTTCACTCTATTTTCATGCCACACTACCCTTATGTTTATTATTTAATTTCTTTTAAGTAAAATACACAAAGATCTTGCATTAAATAAAATAACATCAGTCTTACAAGACATAGGTAGTTATTAAAATAAGCAGCAAACTAACTTAAAAGTTAACAAATGAACAAACCTTTCGTTCAATAATTCTATTAATTAAAGTACTTTTTCCAGAGTTAGGGGCTCCTATTACAGCCACATTTACAACCTTACCAGAAGTTTTACTAACTGCATGCTGTATTTTAGACGAAAAGAATGAACAATGTAAATATTTAACACAACTGTATGTATTTCGTATTGACAGTAAAATTGTAGTTGACATCCTGTATTTTTGAAACTAATATAAAAAAATAATAAAACTTAACAACAACAGCATTAGTATAAACTTCGACTTTTAATTATGTTGTCATACGAACGTATGGTACCTATGTACATAATTACCCTAATTATTTTTCATTTTATTTTCCTATTTTCCTAATTTCCTAAGTTCAATGTTGCCAACACCTAAAAATTTGTGTCCCTAGACTCAATATCAAAAGTCGCTAGAAGCTAGAAAGTCATTAAAACTAATTCTACCAGGAGTAGAATCAGGATTTTATTCTGGGAGGAGCACGAGAGGCTAGTGACGGTAATTTAATTATAATTTAAATATATGTAAAAATACTAATGTGTAATTAAATATATTACCATCATTGTAACATCACATAAATTGTTCTTTCATTAACAATTTACCAATTTACTAAATGAATACAATTTCTTTTGAAATAAATAATGAAAAGAATTCTAATTAGATTAAGAAATATGTAAAATGAATACATATATACACAACATGTAACAAAAACCCTGTGGTTCCCGTTAACTACGTTATCAGAATCAGTATCCATATAAAGAAATTTTTTTTTTTCAAAAAACATTTAAAAAAATTAATTTTAACGAAAAAATAATAATTTGCAAATTATTTGTGGTTTTATTTCCTCTAATTTACACAAGTATCGGTTATGCGATGTCTTTGACAATCCTCTTAATCCTCGGTCAATGCAGAGACAATAAAACCACATACAATTTTATGCAAATTAATTTTTGTTTTTCATTAAAATTAATTTTTTAAATGTGTTTTTTGAAAAAAAAATATTTCTGTCTGTAATCAGATACTGATTCTGATAACGTACTTAACGGGACGGATATATATATATATATATATATATATATATATATATATATATATATATATATATAAGTATATACATAAATATATATCCGTTATTCATCATCGTCACTTAATAACTCAAATAATTCTTCAGTCTCATGCTCGTCTAACACAAGCGCAGTTGACGTAGAGGGTTGAATCTCGCTCATTGCGGATCAACATGTTTTGTTGTATAATAATAACTTTTGTTAGTCCCATTAAGTTTCAGCACTCTTGACGGTATTTCAAAAGATGCACAATCTTTATTTGATTTTTTCACTGATCCCATATTATATAATGTTATAATCAACCTATTATGAGTTTTTAGCGACAATCTATTGCCTTGTGTTGTTTTATTATATTCTTAGAAATGAATACTTTTTTGACTTCAGCATTTTTTTAGTGTGGTAATGATAGTATAGCAAAAAGTATTCTATACTGCGGCATATTTGTACTGGAAAACGTCACTCAAAAATCGAACAGTGTGTAGTGTGATCTCACTTAATGAAGTTAATATTATGCCATTGTTGCAGCATATTATCTATGAAATCGTTGCTATTTTTTGAAATAGCTAAAGTGAGATCATTTACGAATGCAAATTTAATTTTCAAAACATTTGGCGTGCAAGCGTGTTTGCATTTTTCATATATCTCTTGGCGCAGTATAATTCTATGTCGAGTAAACAAAAATGTATTTATTACTGGGCCCTGAAATCGTTTTTTATTTGTACTCCAAAAGTTTTCAGATAAGTCGCTAAACCATTTTTGTCGTCAAATCTTTTATTTTTTGCCGCTAATACAAACAAAAGTCGTTACTTCTAGGGACAAAGTCGCTCAATTGGCAACACAGAGTATGTCAAAATTGGTAATTACCATAGACGAATAGTTTTTTTATTAACTTTCTTTACGGCTCTAGGTTCTAGCTCTTCTGAGTCATAGACGTATAAGAAACATATGGACCATGAAGTATAGAGGTAAGGAGGACATCTGTAAGCAGTAAATAACAGTTCAAAAACTGTCCACAACAGCGGTCGAGTTGCTACAGGGTATGATAATTCACTGTAAAATATGTTGAGAGTGGTTTTGAAAAAAAAAATTTAAAGCAATAAAATAATTATTGTAAAAACAATTATGGTGAAAGTCTGTGTAATAAAAAATTATAAAAAGTTCTTTGAAATTTAGACTGTACCTACAGTAGCGTCACCCTTAATTGGCGCTTTCCTACGGACTCTTTTTATACAGAATCTATACACACTCCATATTATGTACATATGGAATTAAAATATTTGACTATAGAAAAAATAGTTATAGAAATATGAGGCTTATCGACGCTGACATCATAATAATACTGCCATCTCTTTTGACTTAATCTTGTGAAAGCGAAAAATAATGATAGAGTTTTCGACAGCTACTATAATCCCAACCCTTCATTCTAGCCTAATTGAAAAACCTAATTGCAGTTGGGTCGCCATTTTATCCTTTCGCTGTTTAGCACCAAAGATAGAGGTTAGAGATAAGGAGAACGATCGCTACGTGCTAAAGCACAGCCCGGGCTCACTGAAGTTAGCCCCCCAAAAATTTTAATGTTTTTATTTTTCAAATTTCGTTGACACATATCGTTAGTTCGTGGTTTGTTCTTGATTGTTTTCTATCAATGATTGTTTATTCGTCAATAATTTATTTAAAAAAATTAATTAAAAATTTGCCTTATAGTTAGCCCCCAACACTCCAATTTACAATGTTTTTCGTTATTTTTGGTCTTTTTATACATTAATGTTTGTTCTTTTTTAAAACACGATTGTTCTATCAAAATTATATCTATTTTTTGTTTAATTAACAATTTTTATTTAGCTACATAATTATACAGAAGTAGTCAACGTAGGGTTACAATGTGTAAGTGAAAATAACTGCCTATTCATTTAAACTTAAAACTTCAAAATGATGATGGATCCGAAATTAATCTACAACATATATGTTTATTGCTCTTTACAGCATTTGTATTGTATTTTTATTGGTGTAGTTAATTCATTACACATTTATCCATTTTTAAATTATCTGGAGTAGCAGCTTACGTTACGGGTCATTATTTCACTTATTACCGAAGATAACAGGTAATTGGGAAAGCTAAAATGATTTAGGAACAAAATCTCAAACAAATCTCACGCTAACATTGAGGCCCATGGAGCGTTTTATATTTTAGAATAGTATAAGTTGTCTTAATAATACATTTAATAAAGTTGTTTATTAATTTTATATTAATGTTATATTTTTATAAATAATTACACAAATAACCATCACTCATTACACAAATGCCACTTCACTTGATTTAATATACCAGCAATAATATTTGATTGAATAACTAATTATTGGGATTATAAGTGATAATGTAATATTATTATCCATACATTGATTTGTTAAATTTCTAAATATTTTTAACTATTACACACCTTCCATATTCATGAGAAATATTACTGTATACGTATTTTATTACTAATTAAAAAAAACTATTACTATATACGTATTTTATTACTAATTAAAAACAAAAAAAAATAATAGGGATAAAACATGATAAAAATAAATTACACTTTCTTTTTTAATTGGTTAAGTTTGTTTTACTTTAAAACTTTTTTGATTTTTACAGGAACCGCTTCAAACGTAGCATTGACGTATCGGCAGTACAGGTACGTCTGCATAATTATGTAGTTTGTAATATATGTAGTAAATTGTAAATTAAACCAAAAATAGATATAATTTTGATAAAACAAACGTATTTAATCAAAGAACAAACATTAATGAATATAAAAAAAACAATAATAGCGAAAAAGTTATAAATTGGAGTGTGGGGGCTAACAATAAGGCCGATTTTAAATGATTTTTTATAAATAAATTATCGACGAACAAACAATTATTGATAGAGAACAATCAAGAACTAACCACGAACTAACGATATGTGACAACGAAATTTGAAAAATAAAAAAAATTAAAATTTTTTGGGGGCTAACTTCTGTGAGCCCATAGCCCGCCTGTCCATGAACTGCCTTCGGTAATTAGTATGTGTGCGAAGTTAGCTGTTTATGACCACAAGTAGATGAATTTCTAGTTGTTAATTAATTGTTAGTTGAATAATGTACAAATTTTCTTCGCGGCATTGTTGAGAAAATAATCATGCTCCGTAACTTTTTAATTTTTGACAAAAATAAACATTAAAATGGTGAAATATGTGCGTCGATATACAAGTGGTTTAGCATCTGTTCGGAATGTAGACAGAGAAACCTATAGACTAATGATCGGCGTGGCCTCGAGTGAGAAAGGACGATAACGAATTTTTAGGTTATACAATAATCTTTATGATTTTAAAACACATTTAGATAAAAATTTTAATTATTCTAAGAACTGAACTGAAAAAGATTCACCAATCTTAAGCTCACAAAACACTTTTTTCTCACTTAAACCAACTTGTAAACTCGTTAAATCGCTACGCTGTTAACGTTTAAACTCTAAGTTTAAACTCTACAGTTTGCTAAACAATAAAACCGGCACGTAGAAAGGGATAAACAATCACACCACTCTATCTCATTTCTATGCAAGACGTATGCATAAATCTATCTTTTTCGTGTGCGAATGCGAAAGAAGGCATCAATTTGTCTATAGGTTTCTCTGTCTACGGTTCGGAAAAATAGACTGAAAACGACTTTTATTGAGAGAACTAAAACAACGATCTCAGCGCCTCGCTTATGTTGTCCATATTTCTGGGACACTATTTTCTACGGCGATTGTTCTCCTTCTCTCTAACCTCCAGGTACCAAAGAAAGAAATATGTCAAGTGGTTTTTTTTGGCGGGAACTTGGCCGTAAACGGATTGTCGCTCCTGTTTTGTCACTTGAATAACGGTTTGAAGTGGGTTTTGATTCGTAAAAGTGAAGCCATTTTGTGTATTAAGTATCCGAGCGTGTGAAATATTAGAGAAAACTACGAAACAAGTGGTTTGATTGCGATATAAACCTCAAGTTATTTTGATCGCTTGGGCGCCTTATTAACTTGAGCAGCTGTCATCATCAACTGTCCGCTTGGTTGAGCTGTCGTCAAAATCTCGTAAGGGCTTCGCAATGTGACGCATCAGCATATTGTGAAGAAAAAGAATATAAAATGATGATTCCGAAAGAAATGATAGGCTCAGAACGGCTAAATTCCAGAGCCGTAAAGCCAGTTAATAAAGTTAAAAAAAATATGTCGTGTCAACTGTGAAATGCTTGCATATGGCAAATGCCACAGATTACTTTTTGACTTTTTGTATACCTGAATTTCTTGCAGTTTGACACTCTAGTATATATTCAGTAATCTATGGTTGACTCTAGTACTGGGTCGTTCCAGGTTTTTTGTAAAACGAAACGAAACCGTTTTTTTGAAATGAGAAACAGTTCTGAGAAACAGTTAAAAAAAACAGTTTTTCAAAAAAATCCCGCCAGTGTACGTAACGACTTCACCATATGTTTGTTTACAAAATAATA